TCTCTCTCTCTCTCTCTCTCTCTCTCTCTCTCTCTCTCTCTCTCTCTCTCTCTCTCTGTTATCGCGATTTTCTCGGTCGCAGTCGCGATTGCTGTCGCGTCTTATCGCGTAATCGAAGCGGTTTTCGGTGATAGCTTCACGAAAGATGCCCGCCGCGGATGCAGAAGACGCGCCAGATACATGGCTCCGCTACTATATCGTAAATAACTTCCGCCAGGAGCGTAGAACGCGCAAAAATGCGGCGCGCCTTTGTCGACTTTGTAGTAACGTCGCGGGGCATCTGGCACCGATTGAGCGTCGAATTCTCGTCTCGGCGGGCTGTGGTGGCCCAATTTTCCCGCCCCTCCTACGGTCTATTTCGTGACAACCGCATTGCCAATCGTCCGCCCGCCGCGAGAACTCAGGCTGTGCAGAGCATCGTCGCCGGACCCTCGTTATTATCACCTAGGTTCGCGTCGGCGATAAATTGTGTTCGGCAACCACGTGCAAGCGATTTGAAAACACCTCCGCGAAACAGCACTGCGTTGCAGCGAACTCCACTCCGAGTGGCGAAGTTAACTCGATGTCGTTCCGAAATACGGTGTAACGTATTCTATAAGTGCAGCTTAATCGTTCAAAAAGTCGGGGTAGTTGTACTCGGAGTTAACTCTATGAACCTCGCTTCCGAGATGGGTTGGAAGAGTAAATCCCAATGTAACAGCTCGAATTTATGAAAAGTATATACTGCTGCATATACAGGGTGTCTGACGCAAGACACGCAATACCACGTGTGAAGATAAAGCACGTCCATCATTTACCTCTTTTTGCTTTTAATCGAAAAAATTACTAAAAAAATACATGTACTACCGCAGATAAGAATTCATACATTTCGTTCTCATTGTTTTGCCACGAAATAAACGTTGCCACATCTTATGTACAAAACAGACATAGGTCTGTTTATTTTCACTGAACTAGCATGCTCTAACGGAACATAAAAAGAAACGAGTATACAGTTGGAATTTGTTTAAAGAAAAGGGAGAACTAGTGCTGGAGCAGAGGGAACAGCGAAAAAGAATAGATTACTCTCTCCGTTAAAAATTTTTTGGAGTTGATAGCTTACTCTAGTCTACTCTGTCCCTCACCGCTTCGGGTTTTATAAGGTTGACTGAGTTGAGTTTTGGAACGTAGCCCTAGGTGTTGCGCGAGAACGACACTGAAGCTTCCCGAGTCGAAATTTGAGTCCTACTTCCGACGCCAATATTCTATTTAACACTTATTTCGATACTCTCAAGTCTGTGTCAACCTCTTTGAATACTATTCAATATACTAGCTTCACCGAGAAGTCCTCTTTAGAATCTACTAGTAGTATTTTCTGCCATTTAGAGGCGCTGAGTGAGATTTCAGTTTCCACTTATGTTACACTGATCCTTCGGGATATACACAGATGTTAGAAAATTCAAGTCGAGAAAATAGGGCTAAAATTTCGACTCGGGTTCTCTCAAATACTCGTCTACGGAGTGAGCTTGCCGTAAGTTGCAGTAAGAAATGCAAATAACTTATTTTCCTTACGCCTATACTTTAGCTTCTTTACACCTCTTACTTAAAGCGATGTCTGCAACGAGAACTCAAGCCATAAGACTTAAGCTTTAAGCTTTACGCCGTAAGAAATCGACTAATTATCGACTAATTATCGACAGTCGATTATTTTCCTCATATTTAACTGTGATTGGTCAACTTCTTACGGCTTAAAGCTCAAGTCTTATGGCTTAAGTTTTCACTGTAGACACCGCTTAAGAGAGATACTTCCGGTGTAAGGAAGCCAGAATATAGACATAAATAAAATGAATCATTCTTTTCTCTTATTCCAACTTACGTCAAGCTCACTTAGCATTTGCAAACGAGCTTTAATAGTACAAATAACGCTCGTTCTTTATGCGCACTTGGCTACCCGATGACAAAGCGTCGTGGGATCCGAAACGATAAAATCGTGCGCCGGGGTAAATTAAATTTTCAGAGACGTCTCGGCCCTGACGTAGCCGATCGCTGGGATCTCATGGCAAATATTGGAAAAGCCCGAAGGAGCTTACGCCGTTCTCCATCACCGGCAACTGGAGACTGTGAAAATTTCGATGCTCACAACGACATCCTATCGCCGCGAAAGAGAGAAGCAAACACTGTTCGATCGCACCGCGATCGCTGCTGTATATACAGCAACGAGACGACGTTGTATGTGCCGATATATTACACGTTAAAGTTTTATTTATTTCGTCATCGCTATGTGTATCGATCCCCGCGAATGCAGTCGTGAAACGCTGTCAAGTGTCGGCTGTGACGAGCGCGAAAAAATCAGCCGTTTGTCTCGATACGATAACACTGAGCCGCTCTGAGTTTGTCTCTGACTACAGTTGCATTCCAAAACGTCCTTTTTGAAGAAAATTTTACTCAATATCTACTATAATCCGTGTTACATATACTATAGAGTATCGAATCTGTTCTTTTTCGATGAACTAGTATACACTTGCGGAACTTAAAAGAAAATAAGTATGAAGGAGACTAGATTAAGTTGGGCCATTTTTCCAAAATTTATACTTACAATGTTCTAGATGTCACTTACTTATTCTCGATGGAAAATATTAACACGAAATGTCGAGATATACGAAAAGACATAGGTACTCGACAACTCCTAAGTAAATTTACTCTACTTTCTAACTAGGATTAACTAATTAGGAGAAAAAATATTTAGAAGTGAAAAATATTTATACAGTGAATATTATATGGAGAAAACATTTTGTTGAACCAAATTTTTGGTAAAATATGAGTGAACCATTCCGACTGGACATACTGGCATACTGTTTAAGTTAAACATAAATCTTATTAACTTGCACTCTGGAAATTTCAACTAAAATTTCTGTTTTTTTCATATTCCATCAAAAATTTTATTAATACAACAAAACTTTCTTTTTCGTATATATGATAACATATATACTAATATAAAATATCTTGCAAATAAAAAATATACATTTTTTTTAAACTTCAGTTTTTAATAAAAGTTATTGTTTATTCTATTTGAATAAAAAAAATTATATTCAAATAAATGTGTTATTACTTATCGAATAAATGTCTTTTTTATTTTCTAGACTATTTCTTTTCTTACACACAATGTGTAAGATTATTCCAATTTAAATGAAACTCAAGAAAAAATATCTATATCGAAAGAAAAAAATGATAAATGTTACTAAAATTATAATTATTTTCGGCTATATTTTTCTATCTTTTAATTTAATTATAATTATAATTTGCCGACAAAATAGTAGTAGCAACTTGAATGCAAGATTACTATATCGCTAACACTCACTATAAAAATGGCTCTCTCGACTATAAACCTTTCACTATGTGATTACAGTTATAAAACATTTTTTCCTCAATATACGTCCTAAGAGGGATATTTTCCGGTTTCGCTTCCACTCATAATAGATACATACACTGAAAAAAGGATTTTATTATCGAAACGGTAATTTGATATATCGGAACAAAATTTGACTAAAATGAAATCAATAAAATATCTGTTTACTGTAATAAAAAAATTTAATTGCTGTGTGTTTTACTTTGTCAATAATATGTTCAATAATGTCAATAATGTGTTCGACATAAGTAAAAACATAGTAATATTAATTGAATCGTATGTATGAAATATTTGTATTATATTATAAATATTATGTATCAAATATTTATCCAAATATAAAGTAATATTTTATTATTTAAAAGAAGTCAGCTTTTTAAGTCGCTAAAAAAACTATTATTTTAAACAAATTGATTTTATTTAGAAAAATTATTGTTTTTGCTACTTAAAGAAAATATATTTTAATAGAAAATGTTTTTATTTTATTTGAAGAATAAACTATGATTTTATTTATTTATGATGGTTTGCTTTTTCTTCCCTTTGTACTTAATATTATCATAAATTTAAAAAAAGAAACTCAGAAATGTCAGAGATTGTGGAATAAAAAAAGTGTTATCATAAAGTTTCAGATTTTAATTACTACTTTCGCGATATAAAATAGCCTTCTGTAATGATGTAGTAATTATCGTGTAATCGATATGAAATTGCAATGTAATAATCAAAAAATATACAATCCGCTATCAAATTTTGTTTGCAAAATATGTCGAAAGAACAACAACAACAGATTACGGACACAGATAACTACAGCTTTATCGACAGATCATATACATACTCAAACTGTCGTCAAACAGATTGCTTACTGGATTCATTTAGCTTTAGTTAAATGCACGCAATTATCTTCTTTACGAAAAAAAGCAAAAGCTGGCAGGTTCCAGTCGAACAATTTTTTGTTCTCTCCAAAAAAAAAACATTTGGAAGTTTTCCAAACGAATTTTTCTACCCTTGGGGAAGAAATCGGACAAATCCGTGGAAAAAAAAATAAAAAAAACCGATTTTTCTCCAAAAACTATAAATTTCCAAACTATAAATTTTTCACTGTAAAAAGAGCACATGATCGACATGAGACTCGGTCCAACCGGGACCGACCTATCCTACAATTGAGACT